AATAAGTATACTTAATCCTCTTTTGTTTTTCATCAACAATGCTTTGTGGATGACGAGAAAAAGGAGGGCAACCCTGCATAATAGTATAGATGCCTCACATAGGTCACCTTTATTTCTAGCCGCTTTAAACTCCAATCAAAAAGCAATGCATTGTTTCCACAGCTGGGTTTATTTCTGGCTACCTGCCTCAGCACTCTCACGTGAAATACACCTTCAGCGCTCATTGCTATCTTGCTCTGCTCATAGGAAGTCAGCCATGCAAGCCGAACCACATCACCAGGTTATATCACACACTTTGATAAGCCCGTAAACATACAGTATAGGCAGCACGCATAATGCACACAGAGCTCGGTGGTGAGGCAAGCTGCTCACCTCGTTCCACACTGAGCCCCTCACAGCCTGTAATAGTAGAGGCTTAGGGTTGGGTGGGGGAAGGGCAGAGGTGCACAGGTTTCTGATCAGACAAGAAAACTAGGCCAAGACCAACAATCCCTCTCCCCGAACAGCCTCAGCTCCTCCTAAATACTACAACTTTGTTACAGGGCTGGGACAATCACTTGGCGAGATAGTCATTAATGGCGAAGCAAACAGAGTCCTTTTGAGCCACAACACGTGTATTTAGAGGCATAACAGCTTCTCATAGCCGGGCTATGATTCATGCTTCCTTGCCCCTTTGGAAGCTGTCCTCCAATAAGAGTTAGAGGCTGGGGGTAGGAGCGGATAGATTGATAGTGTTGGCTGAGTGCCCATGCTCTGAGTCTATCTGTGCTGAAGGGGAGGAGACAGGGGGAATCTATCTGTTGTGCTCTCTGTGCTCATGATAAACTGACTCCCGTCAAGCTTCTTCCCCTTATTACAGCTTGCCTGGCAGAAAACACCCAAACTCGCACAGACTTCCAACAAAAAAACAATGAAATGTGGGGAGTGAGTGATTTAAACAGCAAGGGCAACAGTCTGCAAGGTTATGCTATCGTCTTTCAGGGATAGTTTGGAAACAAAAGCCAAGCAGAGCAGTTGTTTTGGAACAAGTGAGTGCAGCGTATCTTCTCGAATTCAAACAAAGTATCTGAACCCAGGATTCAACGTCATCTCTAATGGGACCATGGCCAGCAGTGAAAAGCATTGTCCCTCTCCTTCCTTATCCTGAAACCGTAATTCCCACAGAGCTCCACAGTGAGAAAGAAAATGAGTTTGAGGGATTGTCCACGACATTAATCCTCCCAAACACAACCATTCCAGACAGGATCCAATACAGACAGGCAAACACAACGTAAATCAACAATCTATTTACTAAAGGAAAAACTAAATCAACAATCATTTTGACTTGGCTCTGCTTTCATTTGACAATGGCTTTTTTTTCTGGATGCAGCTTCCTCTGTTCTCTCTGCTGATTTGATGGGACCCCTCCCTGCCATCTTGAAATCCCATTACTGTGCAGTTGTATGGATGCCCTGTTCTGCCACCCTCGCTCCAGGTATAGAGAAAGACCAGTTTCCTGTTTACAAAGCCGGGCAGTTAACAGCCCACAACCAGACAATATGGCTAAGGGAAGTAGCAGATAGGCTGTGGTGAGGGTTGAATTTAAGAATTGGAATTTGATAGAGGAACAGAGAGTAGCAGATAGAGAAAGTGCAAAGTGAAGAGGAGCTACCTGAGCCAAAAAAAATGTCTTCCCCAATCTGAAAATAATACAGTAGTCATATATATCGAGGGGGAGGTGTGCGAAAAATCACATGATAACAATCAGATCAGAAGCTGAATTGACTCTAAATCAATTGAAGTAGCCATGTCAGGGCTGCCCAGGACAGGAGCGGGGGGGGGGGGGGGAAGAGGGAGTGAAAGGGAGATAGATGTGAGCCCGTGTGGGGGAGGGAAGCAGAGATTGTTGGTGTCGTGGGAGCACTGCAACAAACAATAACAGCAGTGTGTGTATGTGTGTGTGTGTGTGGTGTGTGTGTGTGTGTGTGTGTGTGTGTGTGTGTGTGGGTGTGTGTGTGTGTGTGTGTGTGTGTGTGTGTGTGTGTGTGTGTGTGTGTGTGTGTGTGTGGGTGTGTGTGTGTGTGTGTGTGTGTGAGTGACAGAGTGAATGAGTTAGAGTGGAAGTGGGGATGTGTTATGGCTCACAAAAGTGATGAAATGACATCTCCTTTACTCCGGCACACAGCTGCTAGCTCCAGCAGAGAACACACTGTTAAGATTATCTGACCTTCTATTTTCTTTGCTAGCCGCCGGTCAGAAGTGTCTGCCCGCCTGTCATGTTCGCCTCTAATTAGCTTTATCTACACAATGACTACACTGTGTCCATTACAAACACATTCCTGCCCATTGATACTCACATCGTTAATATAACCTGCATGACTTCTTCAATTCACATGCGTTTAAAAAAATACAACAAATAAACTTGATTTACATTTGTTTTGAAGACTCATTATACATTTATACTCCCCAAAATACTCTCTGCTTTATACATATCATCAGGTTCTCGTCTCACAAACTAAGCTAATGATTACAGCTTTCAGGTTAGAAATTCAAATCCGATATGAAAACTTATGGATATGACACATTTCGGGTTGTTTTTCTCTTTTTCTTTCATCTCTTTTTCTCCTCCCCTCCCCCCTTTCTTTGCAGATTAGAATTCATTAGCAATCAAAGAGCCTCCAGAGAGCTCCAGCTCTTAATTACCTACTCATTTGCATTTTTGCATATTAATGACTGCAGGGTTTTGGTAGGCTTTTTGCCGCAGTGGTTTAAAGGCACCTCAGTCCTCTTGTTCTCTGGGGAGGAGGAGAGATGGCCAGAGGCAAAGCTCCAAGCCTGTCCAATCCCCCCCATCCTGCCTGATGGGAGCTGGACAGAGCAAGAAGAGAGGGGGTGTTGGCCGGGGACACATGGGACCGGTGGGGTACGGTGCTGGGGGGGGGGGGGATTCAGGGGTGCACAGGTTAAAGGTCAATGTCCCTTATCAACATAAGAAAGAACACATGTCTCCAGCGCTGCCTAATTATTGTCATATTGAGCAGTTTAAACACCTGATCTGAAAAAAATATACCCTCAGAGAAACTGGAAATCTATACTGCAGAGATTGCTCACGTGGGTTTTATTGAGGGCGGCAGCTAGTTTGGATGAAACTCATGTCCCACAGTGTGCAGAGGCAGGGGCATTTTATATCCCTGGAGAAAGGTGTGTACCGGTGAAAATGAGGGTAGTGTGTGCGTGCGTGTGTGTGTGTGGCTGTTTTGCTTTACATTACAGTCTCAAAGTGTTCATTGTGAGGGCAGTAAGAGGCTCATTTACTGTGAGCCTTAATGACGCCAGTATGCATGCATATGTGCACAAGCATGTACAATTATAAAACCCCACCTATGCGCAAAAGCATATAGACACACATGTAAACAGTTGCAGACAGACACACACATACACACGTGCGTGCACATGCACATGATTGAGGGAATCATACCACTAGAGACGGCAGAAAACAGCTCCCAGGCATCTCCCAGCCCCTGAAGTGCTGCTGTTCCTCTTATCCAATATGTTTTGACTGAAACAATGATGTCTGAACATGGAAAATAACACCATATCCCACTGTGCTTTTAGATACCTTACAAACACAACAATTAATGACTTGAAGCCTCGAGACATCTGGCCAACCGGTTGAAGATGATTGAATAAAACATGTCATACAATAACATATTTACTCTGTATGGATTTTTGTCCTAGAAGGTGTTGAAAAGGGCTTTATTAAAAAAAAAAAAAGAAGAAGTGGTTAGATATGTAAATTGTAATCCCTGTACATTTTGCTGATGTCCTTTTGTTGTTCTGTTGTTTATGTTTTTATGTCTTCTTGTGGAACCTACTGCTGCAGGTCTCCCTTGAAAAAGAGATCATTGATCTCAATGGGATTTTACCTGGATAAATAAAGGTTTTGAATTGAATTGAAAAGCAAACTTGGTATTTTTTACACACAAATAAGAGCCACATCTACGAGGAAACATTTCAATGTGGTGACGCTTCACAATATGCAAGACACATACATGTCTCATGGAGCATCCCTGAAAACATACTGCTTCCAGAGGGGGCTTAAGTCGACTTAAGTGCTATTAGTGGAGCATTATAAAATGTGTGTGTGTGTTGTGTGTGTCTGTGCAGCCAGGGCCTGAGGACTGCAGCAATGTGTGGGCTGTCGGGGTGGGGTTAATGAGCTGTTCTTGTGACCTCTGTCACCCCCCCAGGACCACCCTCAGGGAGACAGAGCGAGACAAAACAGGAAGACAAGGGTGACAATCAGCCCAGGGTCGCAGTCTACTGCTGGACTTCAGGGACACATCAGATATACAACTCTATAGGTGGCCTAACATCAATATAAATATCCTCCAAAAGACTTCTGTTAGTAAATATCCTTTGAAATCAGGTGACTACATTATGTCTTAATGAAAGTCAGGTGAAAACACAATGTCTGCACTGGATAGGGATGCTTTTTTGTGTGACTTGAATGCATGGTTATGCATCAGATAAAATGAAACTTGATCTGTGCTGTCATGGTAAGAGAGTCAAAGAGAGAGGGAAACAGAGCAGTGGTGTGACTGCACTCTGAAGATCACTGCATCCCCAAGACGTGATAACAGAGATACTGCTGCCACCTTGTGGTCAGTGTGGAGAACTGAGCTGTCAGAAGATGTTGCATTATGCACAGGGAACAAAACAATAACATGATTCAATCCTGCTATTATATCAAGGAAAACGTGTTTTGTGACACAATGTTGAAAAATAAAAAAAAATTGTTAAAAAAAAGTGTTTCCCGTTATTCTGACCACCCTTGTAACTCTATAAATTAAAATAATATATCTAACGGCGTTTCGTTACATGATGCACTGTGTGCTGACTGTAAATCCCTGATTACAGATAAGACTACTGAACAGGAACCAAAACAAATATTATTATTATTATTACTAACGTTTGTATTGTATTTGATAGGTCAGAATAAGAGACAATCGATCCAGTCAAATGTTTGCAACCATTGTTTTTAATAGAAAGATGTATATTCTTTAAACCAGACAACCAGATGCCAGACATTTTTGGATATATTAAAAAAAAGAAGAACAGAACAAAACAAAAAAATGACACAAAATGGAATTATATGGTTTAGACTGTGTGGATTTAGTGGTCTCATATACAATATATTTTCATTGCCAAAAGTGCAAATTCTCCCAAAAAGAAATCACCAATATCCCCCCCCCCCCCCTGCAGCTTCCAACAGATATGGACTGACAGACTGCTACGCTAAGAAGAAAAAAAAAGACCTTTGTGAAGAGAAAGGGGGGTTATTTTAAAAAGTAAACACCACTGAATCACATGGGGAAGAAAGCGGCCTCTGCACTCTCTGGCCGCGCTCCATTCGATTAGTGATGCCACAGCAGGTGCTCTGCCCCTGGGACGCACTTGTTGTGATACACAGAGCCCCCGCTCTGTGTATCACAACAAGTGTGGTCACATGTGCAATATAAAGTTTAAGCACACAGAGAGAAGTGGAGCGGCCGCTTCCTTCCGGGTGTGATTGTGTGCGTTTGTGATTCATGTCCTGCTTTTAGAGGATGGGACACATTCTGCCATTTTCAAATGTACATCAGAAAGAATATCCCTCTGTAAAGGATTATCATGATAATCACAGTTACAACAATCATCTATTATAAATAGTATCTCTCCCAAGTCATACAATTTACCGAATGGATTTATTAAATGTTTATCATGATCAATAATATTCATCTTACTGAGATCATCTTGATTTGACAAAGGCCAAACATTTTTTCGTACTGATTTGCAAAAGTGCATTTTATCCGTCTTTCATAATCATTTAAGCGCTTTATGGATACCAGATCCAGCCTCTAACTACAGACAGGGCATTATTGCAGACAAAAAGGTTCTGCAGTGGATACACACTGCATGTTTAACATTCAGCACAGCTAGCCTTCTCAGAAAGCTTTGCAACTGTTATACAGGTTTCTTTTCAAGAAAAGGAGATCAAATGACCATTCTCCCAACAAGATCTGAGACGGTAAGGCAGAGAGCAGGTGAGGGGAGGTCTGTCCAATACCCCCCCACCCCCCAACCTTGGTGTTGACTATATATATATGCAATAAGCTGCATATAACAGGTGTGTTGGTACTTTAACAGAGAAGTGTTGTTTATGTCCAGATGAGGTGGCAGCTTGAAAACCACCTCCAATACCAAATGTTCTACTTTTTTTTCTCGCATTTTCATCAAATTGTTTTTCTTTTTCGCATTTAAATAATCATTGCCACAGAGAAAACAAAAAAAAAGACATCAACAGGTACAACAAAATAACAATAGTGATAACGATCAAATAAAAGCACACACATTTCAAGATGGCCTTTCGCAAAAAGTGCTTTTTGTTACAATCGCAGAAGCTTAAAAAGGCAGTTGGATAGCGGTACACTGGGGGGCCTCTTGACTGTCTGTCTACATGTCGGAGGGAGAGTGAGGCTCGAACAGGCAGACTGAAACAGCCCAACTTAAAATGTTGACCGTGTGTTTTCTTGCCGTCTGCAAACACACATCCTTCACACCCTGCCAAAACGCCAAAAGCTGGAATCACGAGTTATGAAGCTATGGAATGTATCCTAAATGAGTTTAGGTGACTGAAAACTGAAACTATAGCTCACCCTCTCCCTCCTTTCTCTCCCGTAGCCTCCCCTGCTGAGGACGTGTGATCTCTGATCAAGGACGGTCCGGCAGCAAAGATGTAGACTCTGAGTCCGGAGAGAGGGGGAGCGAGGGGAGAAGAGAGAAGCAGAACATACTCTCCCCCGTGGCTTCCCAACCCCATCTCTTTTCAGAAATGTTTACTGACTTATAAGAGCGAATCTCCAGTGCCTTCCTTCCCTCCAACAAAACAATCCACTGGATCAATATTAGATGGAGAAATAGGCTGGTCACAGCCACTTTACAATGGGGGAGCTGTTCCTGCTCTCATCTTCTGGGAACTATTATGGTAAATATTGGTGAACATGAAAGGCAAACAGAGAAGTAACTTGGAGGGTTGATTAGACATACCATGAACTTAGCAAACATTGAAACCCAATGCATAGCAGTGTATTTTCCACCTGAGTAGTACTTACATAGAGACAAAGAGATCAGCAGCATTCTGTGAATCTGTGGTGACCTCCTTTGGGTTACAATTCTTATCATATTGTGGCCAGGCATTCCTACCAGCTAAGAGGACGATTGCTCAGCAAATAGTCCGTCACCTGGGCTTTCTAACCTCATCCCTGAAAACAACATCCAGCTTTCCCCTACCACCCGTATTTAATCCTCCTCCCTGTTATGCCAACCTTTGTATCCCCCAGAGACCGAGAGAGACTCCAAGTGCAACTGTCCCCCCCACCCGGCCGAGAGCAGCCAACAGACAGCAGCCTGCCTCTCTGAAGGACCCAGGGCTGTCTGTGTAAGTGCCAGAGCCTCGCCTGCGCATAGTGCCGCCACTGCATATGCTGCGCTCAGCTCGCTGTGCATCAAGAGCCTGATGGAAAACACACAGAGAAATCAGGTGTGCAGGAAAACAGGAAAATGACGAAGCAAAGCAAATAGTCCCCCGTCTGCCGCCACGAATCTGAATGTTAACAGTCACCCCGCCCTGCCTTCGCTTGATTATTTACAGTTATCATAGTTGTTGGTCGTCTTTGTTTTATGGCCTTCTCAGGAAGATTCCCCCAAACTCTTTGATTTAACAGCATAGGACAAACATAACAAGGTCAATTTGGAAAAACACTTGCATTAAACGTTCAGAGAGTGTGTCAGTGGAGCCTGGGTCAGAGTAACCTTAGTGAGGGGCCGAGGCTGGGGCCCACCAGGAGGATCCATAGAGGCTGACAGAGACTGAGCTCTGAAGAGGCGGTATGTTCATATTCTTTTTATTCAAGTAAAGCTTAAACAGATACATGATCAATTTGAGTTCCAAGCCAATCAGCATTTTTGGTTTTAATATGTCGGAAGAAAAGTTTTTGTTTATGGAAAGAAAAGAAATGAAATTAAGTTGTGAGTTTTGTCGGTTCCAGCCCACGTAAGGCACCACTGTGGCCCTTGACGTTTGCAGCGTCCACCTGGTGGGAGTTAGCCTCAGCCCCAAACTGCACAATACAACTGTCTGGAAACATGAAATGAAATAATAAAAAAAGCTTAGTGCTGCTCAGACAAGGCCACGGAGTCCCAGTCTGCTTCAACGTTAGAACATTTGAATTCATTTCAATCTTTTACCAGAAGTAAACTGAACATTTCAGCAAGGATCAAAATAACAGTGTTAACAATAACAATATATTTCATTATCATTTCATATCATTTCTCATCATTTGACCTGAACATGAACTTGATAAAATCCCATCTCTTAAATGAACTTGATTCCATATCTGTGGAACCTGCAAACAGTACGTCTCAGCCTTCAGACCAGGACACAATTAAATATTTAAATGGATTTCGGAGAGGCTTCGCTACTTTCTAAGTGCCTAAATGTTGTATATTTGGAATATTTCTTAACGATGAACAGCAAACATTTGTTGCTGTTATCACACCATAGTGTCCATCAGAAGTTCTCTTTTCAAGAGCCTTCAGATCTAACAATAAAACTCTATAAATCCAACATTAGATAGTAGCTTAAAATGTCCAATGACTTCAACGCAAGCCATTTCTTCTCCTTTGGTATTTGTTGGACGTCTGTATATCTCTTAATATACTGTACATGATTATTTCTATAGAGGGGTTGCATGGACTCCATGAGCCCATTGAGTATTAACCACACTGCTCTGTGCTCATGGAAACTCGCAGGCTTTCTGAGGTCTCCTGCCCTTCTCCCATACGCAGGATAAGGACATTAAACATTAGTGCAAACGTTTGCTCTCTCAGCTAAAGCACCATTTCCAGTGCTATCAGGCTTTATATCCATAACCCCACCCAAGCACCCATTTCCCCAACCCTCCTGGCACAGCAACCCACAACCATGACCCCAACACACACACACGCATACACACACACACACGCAGCCATGTACAATTGTTAGAAAAAAAAAGTAGCACAACACGTTATTTTAAGTGTAGATGAACAGAAATAAACTATACATCTTTAAACCTCTGATTCTACTGTCCACAAGGAGACAAAGAGCGAGAGAAAGCTAACTCAAGTCAATATCTGTATGATTTCACACACACTTCTGCATATGAATTCAAGAGGAGGGCTTCTGTGTGTGACTTAGTCAGGGAGGCTGGATACATTAGACTTATCTACAGTGGACTAAGATTGAGGGCTTTGGTTAATTAACAAAACACATAAGACTTTTTAAGTACAAAGAAACCAATGTTTAAGATTGCTAACAGGTTTCACTTTCTGCCACATCGAGACAAAGTTGGTTTAAGCGGTCCATACCAAGTATTACATACATATCACATATAGCTTGCATTGTCTGCCTATAGGAGTCAAACTGTGCGCTAATGAACCCCTCCTTAATCATAACGGAGAACCAAAAATAGAAACTAAGACTCTCAAGGCCTGGCCAACCACTGACGATGACCAACAAGGGTAAACAAAGAGTTTTGCAAATCTGCACCAAGAGAGCCGTGATGTAAACAAGCAATTGTCCATTGAGTTGCTTTTACAGTATGGTCGTTTTGCTTCTGTGGAACCGTGCACCTATTATCACTGCGGTTCCTCTGAGAACACGTGTAGTTATGAGAGGAGCTGTTGAACAGATGGGGCAGACGCAACGTTTGTTTATCCAAGCTTGTCCCGAGACCCTCCTGCCTGCCAGCCAGCGCACATGCACACAACTGGAACTGCATGCCAAACACACACACACAGTGCTCTTTCTTCTTCTCCTTCTAGCCCCTTCCCTTTCCTAAGACAGAAAGACAACTTACTAGATTTCTAGTGCTATCACTTACGTGGATGGTAGTCTTTTCTCAGGTCACAAAACCCAAGTGTAGTGAATCAGAACAACTCTTTGAGAGCTCTGATCTCTGTTTTCAATTTAATTTGGCAGCTTGTCGTCAAAACCTGATCAAAACCAGTGAAGGAGCTCAACTTCACCACGACAGACAGAAGAAAGGACTTATCTCATTTGCAACTGCTTTGTTTCAAAGTACCCGTTTGTTGAAATAGTGCCCCCCTCAGTAACAAAGTGCATTCATAACCGTCTTTCCAATTAAGGTGCAAGGGACCGATTTCTACTGCAGAAATGACAGGGCGGTGATTAGGAGGGGGGGTTAGGACAAAAATAACATTGGATTCCGAATACAAAAACACAACTTTAGATATTTTAAGACTAACAAATCCAGATGTATGGAGTCACTTACAATATTCAAACAGATATTCCCCTTCTCCACGGGATACCTGGACCAAGTGAGCTGAGTATCTGAGTGTGTGTGTGTGTGTGTGGACATGTGTGTGAGACAGCGAAAGTGCATTGGGGCTGGCAGTTCAGGGTGCATGTTTGAACAGGCCGTGGCTGACTCACAGTGATGATGTGGCCACAGCGACCCCGGCTGCCACGCACACACATGTACACAAACACACAGACATACAAACACCCACACTAAACTGCCAGCACCAGGCGTCCTCCCCACAGTAACACCAGGCTCTAATATAATAATATCCCCTCCAGGCTAGTTCGGGGGCATTAGAGGACTACAGAGGGAGAGAAAAGGCTTGATTTGATCCCCTCCCGCCTGGAAACGTGGCTGAGCTGGGGGAGATTATTTTTTTGGAATGCAACAGACATTGTGAGATCCCCCTCCCCTTCCCTTGCTCCCCTCCCCCATCATCCAGCTGCAGCTGCGCTCCTATTTGGCCTCCCAACTTGGACAGGTATTTATTGCTCTCTTCATCATACAGGTTGCCTCACGGTTGTGTGGTCCCTAGGGCACATAGGATTGGAATAAGCATGATACATATACCTCCTCTCACACCAGCCCTCTTCCTTTAAATATACCTCTCTCTCGCTCTGTTGGATATCTTTAGTAAAGCTGTGCAAACATAGAAAAAAGGTGCTCATCTATCTCTTCTTCGTACTCTTTGTCATTCTCTCGCTCGGGCTCCCCTGCCATTCCTTTAACCTGCGCTTGGTTAAATGCTACCCGCGCCTTGTCACACAAGGACACAATCCGAAAGAACTGCACATTCATCCATCCGACCTCCTCGTCCTTTGGGCAGGAACTATACAAGTGTTTTTAAGTTTAGGACAAAATGGGTGATTCAATGGTTTTTCTCATCAGACATTCATACAGGTTGGTTTTTTTCGTTCGCCCACAAGCTTCACTCCGTGAGAAATATGACATCAAGCCTAAGAGGAAAAACCCGATTGTTAAGTACACCTCAGCATTAAGAGGGGACTAATGTCATATCACCACCTGCTGTATATACATGCATTACAATATAAGTGTCAAGTACCCAAAGCAGTCAACAGAAAGGAACAACGACCCAAACTAAATTAAGACAAAATCAAAAGGGAAAACAGAAATGCTGAAATTGCAGGTTTGTGAGGGATAAGAGGCAACGTAGTCAATCCGACAGATACATCGACCATGGTAGTGCTTTAAAAACACAAACCCTCCACCCCTCATTTTCCCTAGTCCTGCAATTGAAGAGCCCCCGTTAAAGTGGATTTGACTCAATATGGATTTGTTTTTCAAAATAACAAAACATAGATTCTTAAAAACGCATTTTATAGAGTAAGTAACACTTCAATCAAACCCCTTGTCTGATTCTTTCTGGAACATTTAAAGAGAGAAAACTGTTGCATCAAAATTGTGGTGAGCTTTCCTTGCATATGCCATTTTGTGGCAATGTTGTTTCTATGGTAACTGTACATTTCACACCTGCAAAAGAATAGAAAAAGAGTTGTTTTCACTGGGAGGATTTGTCCTCGCTTCACCCGTACAGCAGCCAGAAGGAGCTTGATAGACACCTTGCTTAGAGCTTGAAGGCTTGTGAGGACCAAAACCAATACAAATTGAAATCAACTGCATAGTTGCTCAGAGTTTCTTTTGAGCTATCATACGTTTGCCTAAGCACATATGCCAATGTACAAAAACCTTAATATTAGAAAGAATGAAATGGCCCAGAAAGTGGACGTGATGGGTGCATGAATTGAAGCGTTCTTTGCTCTTTAACAGATAAACCGACTCAAGTGCTTGCAAGTCTATTCCATTTCCTAAAGTGAAAGGAGAAAGAAATATAAGATTAGAATTTTTGTGACACCCTGATTTGGTTTATAGAGGAATAGTTAGTTGTTGTTTTTTTTAAAAGTTTGTCTTAGCATGTTTTTTTACTCCTCTCTGTTCACTGGCCTGTCTCCCAGGCAGTGCAGAGTGACGGTGTCCAGCAGTGTCCTTGTGGCCCCTGCAGTCTCAGGGCCCGGCCTCCTCCTGAAGTTGAGGACTGTGTGCGTGGGCTTCGGCAGCCCCCTCCATCTCTGCCGCTGACGATGCCTCCGAGCTCCGCCGTCCCCTGATGGTGCACGGCCCGGGGCTCGTGTCGGACCCGGGGCTGGGCAGGCTCAGAGGGGCGTCGAGGAGCCCGGGGTCTCTCACCCGAGGCTTCCGACCTCGACGAGAAGGGATGCCGTTGCAGCCGTCCTTCTTGAGGTGGCGGTGCAGGTGATCCGAGCGGACGAAAGTCTTAAAGCAGCTGGAGCACTGATAGGGGCGCAGGCCGGTGTGCACGCGCATGTGGTTCTTCAGGTCGTAGTTGTGAGCAAAGGCGGCTCCACATTGCGTACACAGGTAAGGCTTCTCTCCTGTGTGCTTCCTCATATGAACCTTGAGCTTGTCCTGCCTGGGAAAATTATAAACAAAATCCCATCAGAATACAAATACAACTAATTACAATGCAGTAGAGGATCAGCTCAAACTCAGTTACTTATCAGGACACATCATTTCTTATCAAATACATAATTAACTCCAAAATTATTATTCATTCTCATATCCACATACTGTCGTGAACTTAATCTGCTTTGGATAGTTTTATTCCTATTAAACAGCCATCTTTTGGATGTCTTCCAATGTGGATTATTCTGTGAGGGCAGCCAGGCGAACTGAGGAGAAGCCATAAACGTTACATCTTTATCTGAGTAATTGCACACAAGAGCCAACTGTGGACTGACGAGAAAGCTCAACGTTCACTGTGTCAGTTTGCATTTTTTTTTTAAATGTCTGTTAGGATGACACCATATCAATTGACAGATAACAAAAAAAAATGTTTTGTGAATATAAAATAAAGATTTCAGTGTGGCCTACAGTAGGGCTGCTCAATTCAACGTATTTTAATCGCAATTACGATTTTGGCTTTTAACGATGATGAAAACAACATAATCGAAATAAAACGATTTTTTAAATTATTATTTATTTAAAAAGAAAAACATTTTTTTTTTTTTTTTTATTGGTTTTTCAATTGAATTATTCTTAAAGTTCAGGGTCATCAACTGTTAAAAACATACTACACCTTTTTCTTTTTCAATTGATGTTTTCAAAGTAAATGGATAATCGTTTTTAATAATCGTGATATCCATTATTGACCCAAATAATCGAGATTATGATTTTTGCCATAATCGAGCAGCCCTAGCCTACAGAAGAACAATTCCAAGATCATTTGGAAAACTTGTCGTTTATCTTGGAGGAGTGCTGAAATATAGATGAGTCTGTGAAATATCATCAATTTCTCAGCCTAGTTCTTTCGCCACAAGCTTTCATTTGATTGCATTTTGTATTAGAGCAGTTGTCACTTCTCAGTCCAACACTTACTTTACAAGTCCATCACTAGTCAAAACAAAGCATTGACGTTGTAACTGTAAATTGATATCATTACACCCTGGAACATGTTTTACTTTGTGATGGTACACTGCTGCCCGCTATTATCAGGCTGCCTTGGCCTTGATGTGACTCTTGTCCCACCCTCCCCCCTTTAGCCCTTACTATCTCTCCAACTCCCAAGCTCTTTAATCGTTTAACCCTTCTGCACTGAGGGCTCCTAAACAAACAAGCGTAGTTAAGACAACTCTACTGGAACACACACACACACACCACACACACACACACACACACACACACACACACACACACACACACACACACACACACACACACACACACACACACACACACACACACACCCAATGTAAGTGGATTAGCTGTCATTCAAGCACACAAACAAACCCACGCGACTCTTACGGGTCTATACAAATGGTGCCCCAAATCTAAAAAAGAAAAAAGCAATATGTACAGGAGGAACACACAGATGAATACACACAGGCCAAAGCCTTGGGGAAAAAAGCGGCACGCTGACAGAGGTGAATTATTTAAAGGACAGGAGTGATTTATTACCGTGCGAGGCACACTCTTAACCCTGATCAAACAGGATTAAGATTACAATACCCCGTCCCACTGCAGGTCGAATTTAGCTAGAAGGTAAATTCAGATTGGTCTTCCCTACCTGCCATGCCAGCAGAGGTTCTGGGTATTTCTAGCCAGCTGCATCTATTTCAAGCACAAGTCTACTGATTAATTAATTAAAGGACTGATTTCAAGGAAAAGGTCGTACTTCTGAATACAGGGAAACCAAGTGCACTGAATTCCCCTGCTGTAGACTAGCCCCATCTTTCTGAGCGGCACATGGCAGATTTTATTAGAGGGGTAAAAGAGAGAGAGGAGGGGTGTGGTGTATCTACTCTGCCATGGGCGATAATCAACATAACCAAAGATCAAAAGTTCAAATTATTGCATTGGAACACCAAGAGCACCATCCAGGGCCTGTAACCCCCCCCTCTGTATCAGAACACAGCACTTTATAGCAGTCCTTCACTAGATAACACTACCATGGCTCACCCTTCTTTTATAGGACCCCTACGTTTAACGTTCCAGGACTTTGCCGTGAACGCTGTCACAATAAAACAGACTTGTAAAACCATATGACCCTCTCTCAGAGCTGGAATATTCTACGTGTCATTCTGCATTTGGCTACAATGTGAGATTGCAAAAACCTGTTTAAGGACACTCAGTCAGTCCATGGACCAAGGTAAACACTTGGATTCTCACTGCCTCCTCTCCTTAATGCAAAGCTAAGTTGGTTAGCACTAATACCCCTGTCCTGGTGGTGTTTCCCACTGCTGGGCGATTTGTCTACAGTGCCAAGTCCCAGACTTTTAGTACATGTGACACGGGGGTAGTCGCTTCATTAATTGGGCTTACCTGGTAAAGCGCACTTTTGCAGATGGCGCATTCATAAGGTTTCTCTCCCGTGTGTGTTCGGATGTGGCGGGGTAGCTTGCCTGCTCCTTGAATGACCTTGGAGCATATGGGACATTTCTGGAAGGCCTTAGAGCGCATCTTCCTCTCGGCTCCTCCTCCTCCTCCTGCGCCCCCGCTGTCTCTCTCTCCCACCCCCCTCTCTCCTCCTCCTGCTCTGTCTTGGCCTGTTCTGCCCCGTGATAACCAGAGCGGCGGCACTCCCTGTGATACAGCAGCAGAAACCGGATCCTCGTGCTGCGTGCTGTTAAAATAATTCAAGTAAAATTCCATGTCTGGGTCGTCCCCATCTCCCTGTTCCTCCCCCGTAGTTGCGCGATCCTTCTGCCTCTCGATGGAGTCCATCATCTGCTGCAGTAGGGCACTTGCAGACCCCCTGTCCCTCGCCAACGCGTCCCTGCTCCCATCCTCCACATCTGGCTCCTGCCCCAGCCTAGACTCAGGGAGGAGGTGAACGTGGCCGTTTTGGGATGGAGGGTAGTAAGTTGACCCCAGGCCTGCTCCGTTCCCCTGCACCGCCTCCCCGTCCTCATCTTCCTCATCTTCCTCGTCGTCTTCTTCGTCTTGCTCCTGTGTGGGGGCCTGGGCCAAGGCGAGGGCCAGGGGGGAGTAGTACTTGCCGGGGCCAGCAGGAGCCCCGTTGCTGGGGGTCCCTCCGTTACCGTGGTTAAAGTGCAGATGTGTGGGCAGGTCCCTGAGCTCTGGCGTGCTGCAGCTGCTGCTCCAGTGGGCCCCTCTCAGGTAAAACTCCAGGAACTCCTGGGCCCGAACCCGGTTCCCCTGCTCCCTGCCTCCTCTGTCCTTCCCCTCCTCCTCTTCATCTCTTCGCTCACTGCCCGCCTAGTCAAATATGACAGGGAACATAGAGAGTGAGTACAGGTCAAATATAAAGTCAGAAAAGTTCAAAGAAAAGAAAGAAAGGGGGATACAAAAGTACAATACTTATTTAGAAAATAAATAACTACAAAATAAAAACAAGGGCACACTGCTGCTGCTTAAGGGTGGTGAATGTTTGTAGACCAACTGAATGACGAGCTATAGAGCTTCTGGTCGCTAAGGTGAAGGCTGACAACAAAAACCCTAAATCTACAACAGTAAATCTCATAAAAGGCAGATTCCTATCCGTGTATAGTGGATGCACAATCAGTGGTTTCTTTGAGCCATGAGCACATGCATGTGCATTTCACAGCTCCACTTGATAATGTTGAAGTGTAGCTGCGATATGCTGTGTCTGTAGTTGGCACAATAGCACGCTCTCCTTCCATTCACACTATTGTTTTAGAATGAGAAAGTGCTGATTCCAAAGGCTGTGGGCGTGTGTTTGGCATGGTGGGAGAGACTGATAAAGGCCATGATGTAAGCTTGACTATGCTGACTATTTAATGAAGGTGGTGGTATGATGACCAGACACCTCATTCCCTAAGTGGCTGAAGCAAGAGAACTTAATGTTGAATGACAACACATCTGTGCTTCAAATTCATTTCAACCAAAAGCTTAAATTTGACTTTAACACATGTCACTTATATGTGTTCTAAAAGGTCTTGTACCGGCGGGGAGAGCACTTTGGAGTCCAGCAGGTGTGTACAGACGTCCTGGACCGGTGGGATTTCCAGGAGGCGTGCAGCAGCAAGGATGTCAGCAACACTGCTGTGACTGACTGTCAATGTCGCTGTGTAGGCAAAGTCCAGCAGCGCCCCCAGAGCCTCCGCCACCACAAAGTCGATGTTGTAGACGTTCTGTTGGTCAGCGGCGGCTCCTGAAGTGAAGAGCTTGTGGAAGTAGGAGCTGCAGGACGCCAGGACGGAGCGGTGAGCCGGGAACTCCAGTTCCTGGGAAACCAGGAGCACATCGCACAGCAGGCCGCTAAGCCGCTGCTTGTTCAGGCTGCCCAGGATGTCTGCGCTGTGCTCGGGGAAAGGGATCCCCACGGGGCCTTCCTCTGCCTCTCCTGCACCTCCTCTCCCTCCTCCACCAGTGCTGCTTGCTGTCCCTCTGAGCCGCCGTCCACCCCTCCCACCGGCTCCTGACGACATCTTCCACCAGCCTGCCGCCGAGCCGCCTAGCACAGCCCCCACCCGTGTATCCGTCCTGCCGTCTGTCCGTCTGCCTGTCTGCGGAGAGAAGAGTTGGATAGAGGGAGGGGATGGAGGGAGGAAGACACAGAGGAAATAATAAATCAGTTTATGACATTCTTCATAAAGAAAGAGAGAGAAGTATTGATTCATTGATTAACCACAGTCAGAAACACACACAGGAATGCTCCAGAACCAGCGCACAACACTTTGATAGAGGAAAGATTTGACTTCAATGTGACGTTTATACAGAGAACACTGACCCAATTGAGTCCATCTGTTTTACTGTTCAAATTTAGTTGTCCAAAAATAAAAAAATCATAAAAAGGTGTTTAGGACAATATAAATATGTGTTAATTTAAACTATGAAACAAGTAACAGTTTCATAACAGTATTCATACCTCACTGATCATCGTAAAAAACACTTCATTCCTACTTTACAGTGTAACAACAAAAAGTATTTCCACAATCAACAACTCTGGCTGCTCTCTGGAGCAACAGTCCCTTTGAAAACAAGCAGTCTCATTATGATTAGTATGAACTAATCAGAGCAGGATTATCCTGGGTGTAAGACCCCCACCTCATAAGTAATATTCTATAGATCTAAAAAGGGGGCTGTCCCTTAACATACACAAAGATGAGGAACCTAATGAGGTGACGATACAAAAGGAGTCCTACAGTAAGAAACAACAGTACACATACATTGTCTTGCATAAACACTACATCTTGCACAGTCCATAACGTGTCGTACAGACAAAATGCACATAAACAGACTTTGAAGAAGCTTAGCTAAATCAACAAGTCGGGTCATATGTTGGTGTGTGCCAGTTAGTATTGTTACAAGCTCTAAAACAGGTTTGGTAATGAGCATGTGGATGGATGTCATGTCAAAAGAAAATGCCACAACTGAGAAAAAGGAAGAGACCAGAAAAACATTAAAAATGTCTTTAAAATCAAGGCAACAACTGGCAAACACAAAATACTGCAATAGATGACACCCTGCTATAACCTGAACGTGTAGCATACCAGTATACATATAGGTGGTTGGTGGATAATTAGACCTAATATGACCCATTTACATTTTGTAGAGGGCTTTACTTTTCTCTCTCCTATATGGCATGCTAATGACATTCATCAACTGTGTACTGACTTTGTTACTAAACCAATGTAAATGATTGCCCCAAACATGTTATGTTTATTCACAAGTATCTTGCCAATAGAGAAACTACTTCACCGATTTTCGCATCGACACGATGACGATTAAGCTTTCAAAAAGTATTTGTTCCTGACCTGAAACTGAACTTCACAGTGAGAGGTTCCCAGATATGTTGAACACTGTAATTCATCTTTTTTGGAAGGAAGATCTCATGCAATATAGTAGCAAAAAACTGTAAGTTCAAACATTGCACTCACTTGACTCAAGAGTTTGGAGCAAGTGTCCCAAATAACTGGATCGAAGCCATCCAGCGACACCACCGTGCCACACATTACAAATGCTTGGAACTGGGTTTAAAGCAAATGTAATGGTACAACAGGTACAAATGGTACAATATGTAAAAAATGTGTTTCTGGTGGCACTGAATAAATAGTAGCTTACAATAACTTTGAATACATCCGACCAGGAATATTGCTTGCTAAAGAAACATGCCTGTGGTTGTTTTGTCACTCAGGAGGAACTAACACTGAGTTAGGAGGAACTAACTGATTGATCCGTAAGTATCTAGGGTTGCAGTCATGACAAGATCTTGAACTATCTAAAAGATAATGACAGGTATTTCCATGCTCCCTTTTCTATATGCTTTAGCACAGGGTAGAAACATTAGACCATCCTATACCAAAAAAAAAGAAAGGAAATGTCTTCCCGAAATTCCTTGCAGCAGCAAACTCTAAAGCGATTTGGCCGCACAAGACATCTGCTTTTTCTGTTTTACTGAACACTATGTATACATTTGAACAAAAATCCTTTCTTGGAATTGTGATTCTGCTTTGGACTTAACTTGTACTACACTGAGTTTATCACTGTACTCATTTCCTATGCATTATATATAGTCCTCACATTTTGATAAATTCCCCCTTCATGTCTCTCCTTGACATTATCACGTCTCCATCAAGATAACAATATCTATGACTAGACCACAGCCTAGTGGGGTGGATGAATGACTAGGTGGATATGTTTATGTACTATTTATATGTGTGTCTCCTTGTTTACACCCTTAATCTACGAGTGTGTGTGCAAGAAACCAAGTAAGAGGTTATGGAGGACAGACAGGCAGAGGACAGTGGGGATCAGAGTGCATGCTGGGAGATGGACTGTGCAGCTTGTTCATTCTGTGTCAGTTGAGAGCTGGGGAGGTTAGCGAGGGAGGTGGAGGAAAAGAGAGGAGGGAGGGGGGGGCTGCCAAAGCATACCCTGTGGAAAAACTCCACAAGAGGAGGAAGAGGACACGCAACAAGCTGCGAGGCAACCGTATTAAATAGGGAGGTTGTCAATCCGGTCTGAGCTGGTTACCCCACCCTGTACCTTGTGCCAAGTTTCAGGAAAGGCTGTCCCCTCGCTCACGTGTGGGGGGAGATTAAAATGATCGACTGAGGCCTGCGCAGTGGGAGGGGGGTTTCAGCCAAACAAGCCATCCTTGATTTCTCTATTAACACAGTCACACATACAAATACTGGAACATCAGGGAGACATCAATAACGCACAAAACACACACGCACATACACGGACATATAGGACATCCACCCCAGCTAACCCCACCACCACCACCCTCTCCATCTGCCAGGGAGACCCAGCAGGGAGTGAGACCGTGGGGGGGGGGGGGGAGTGTGTTGCTCTCTGTAAAAGCAAACCATTCAAATGACATTCCTTCAGATCAGCCCTCCTCGTATGTTTGTACGTTACACCCCACTACCAAACCTGCCTAACCTGGATGACTCTCCCCTCTCCCATACTTGTTCACCTGTTCTTTCCTCCCCTACGTTTTGTTCGATTCCTCCACACCTTGAGATCTGGATATGTCAGCTATGTCTGCCCAGAGGGAAGCCAGAGGTGGAAGATGTTTGTTCAAACTTATTATGATCCTCTAAATATGTCAATGATTTAATTTCAGCAAACACAAGGATACAAATAAAGTTTGTATATTTAAAATATTGAATATTGCTTGTTTGATTAGTGTTGAATTGTTACTGTATATCTGCCTTAACTAAAAATACGTTTTTGATACGCAGTTCACCACCAGGCATCTGCAAACACTGCCGATGTCTTCCCCAAAGCGCAGATGAAAACGGAATGTCAGACATGGCATGAGCACATTTTATTATCCAAGCGCTCATCTGAATATACAGAGATGAGGGAGGCGAGGGCGAAGACAAAGAGAGATGGCACAGGAGGGAGAGAGGAAGAGAGAGCCGAGTGAGATGGAGCTGGAAGAAAGAGCAAGACAAAGGATAATCGCAAGGCTACTGGTCACGTCCTTCAGAGGAAATAGATCTCTGTGAGCCCATCCAGACCCGAGCTACCGCTTTCCTCCAACACACACACAGCACCTGAACTAGACCCGGCTTTGCTGCAAGCGTGTGTAGCGAGTTGTCCCCGTACATATAGCTCACACACACACACACACACACACACACACACACACACACACACACACACACACACACACACACACACACACACACCATGTATACATCACTTCAGGGGACATTACATTGACTTACATGCATTTCCTGGAGACTTATCCTAACCTTAACCATAACCAACATATGCCTAACCCTAAACCTAAACCTAACCAAGTCTTCACCCTAAAATGAATGATTCCCCTTATGGGGACCTCCATTGTGTCCCCATAAGGGAGGTGAGTCCCCACACGTGACTGTGTAAACAGATTTAGGTCCCCACAAGTATAGTAATGCTAGGCCACACACACACACACACACACACACACACACACACACACACACACACACACACACACACACACACACACACACTCAGGGAGGGACTACTCTGCATGCAGGAGCTACCTGTCCCCGAATAACCCCGCAAAGAGAACTAAGAAAGAGGAAACACAGAGGAACAAACCTGATCCTGACACCTCCTCATGGCTTGAAACATTCCTTATCATTAATTCATGCCTGTGGGTGACAAGGCCCGCAACCCAGCACAAAGCAGCACCGCAGCTGTCCGTGTACCTGGTGTTCCACTTCCAGGGAAAGGGCTTCTCTCAATGCCCAGTCAGAGAGCACCCAGGCCTGCTTTGCAAGTCAAACAACTGCCTTAACAGAGGATCCACCCATCCCATCGCTGCCTCTCCAACTCCATGTCATCTGTAACGCCCCTATACCCCTTCTCGTGTATCTACACAAAGCAAGGACAGATATCAAAATTACACTACCCACACCGGTCTCCTGTAAAGCAGTTTCCTTTTAGCTGTTGCTTCAAATGACTGTGCCGTGTGTGTTCTTACTAGCCATGCCAAGGCAGTCACGCCCACTTTGCTTGTCATTCCCTGACAAACTCGTGTTTTGTTTTAATCATGTCCAATATGTATGCTCTAAGGATTGCAGAATCTCTACTCTCAAAGTATCTCTGTCTTTGGCTGACACATACCAGTCATTCCTGAATACAAAGGAACAAACTGTTAACCCTGTGCAACCTCAGATGTTTCAAAGATAAACAACAAAGTAAAAACCTAAGCCTGATGGCCTTTTAAAAGGTTTTATCGACCTCATGAAAAGCAAAGAGCACACATAGTTACAACCAGACTCCTAACCAATACACAATTATTTCAATTGGTACTGAACTTAATGTTTGCATTTTTGAGAACATATTGGCACAAAGTATATGTTTAAGCAAATGTTCTCCTTTTATTCAGATCTTTCAGTTTCAAAAACTCTGGCATGCAAACAGGGATTGGCTGATAAAAAAGAATGCACAGTTCAAAACTACTGAGCAATCAAACTTCAAGCACGAGCAAACATAACTGAATCATTGAACCCATAAATGTTAATGGAGTACAGGTTGTACCACCTTTAGCACTTAAAAACGGAGCAGTCGTTCACCTCGGGAAGTTACTAGCTTTTACAAGAGAATCTTTTTTAGGCTACTCCACATTTGACTCAGGTGAGGACTTCATGCATGCAAGTGTAAGTATTAAGAGCAGCAAGTGCAAAATACATAACTAAAAACATCTGAAAAATCTGGATATTAAACAAGTTGAAGAATTTAGTCGGCCCTTTGACTATGCCTCCATGAACGTTTCTTTATCGTTTGACTTTCTTGCCATGTCCTCATTTGACCAACTTTCTCAGCTCTATAGGCGCATTCACACCGCAGTACTTTTCCCACAAAGGTTCATGAGAACTTAGTTCATGAGAACTCTTTAGTTCTCATGAACCACCCGCTCCACCGATCCACCGCTCCCATGTTTTATTTTGTGTTGCCATAAGTTAGTCTCTCTGCGTTTCTGCGCTGGGCTAATGCTAATAATGCTAATGCGAGGATAATAAAATTCACAAAACTTTTTGGGAGTTTTACGGGGCGTGGTTTGCAATCCTTCCAGCCAATCAGAAATATAGCTCTTTTCTCACAAGAGAGCCGTACGAAAGTCCCTGCTCTCTAGCAGGGACTTTCGTGGGGGTAAAAAGGTTCTCATGAACTAATTTTAGTACCGGCTCTTTTTGGTGTGAACGCGACAAAAGAGTTCTCATGAACTAAGTTCTCATGAACCTTTGTTGGAAAAGTACTGCGGTGTGAATGCGCCTTGGCAACAAACCTGCCTAGCCCGTCCTGCCGCAAGGGATTCACTTCAGTCAGATCAAGTGGGTTCAAAGTCGGACCAAGATAATACAAGATAATCGGAGTGGGGAGGGGGTGGCAGTTACTTGGAAGAGTGGCACAGCCAAGCGACTCACTGCTGCCGGTAGTGAAAGGAAACCTGATTGGTCCTTTTGGGAGTGAAGCAGGAAGAGGGCAAGTGACTGATAAAACTGCATAGGCTGGTCTCGGCCTGACAGCTTTTACTAGAAACTAACAAGGAAGCAAAGCTAATACAGAGACACAAAGCAAGTGAAAAGGTAGTGGGCGAGGCAGGGCGTTAAACTCTAAAGCTTAATCATAACTCCTGAGCGTATGGTGGCCAAGGAATCCGGCTCAGATGTCAATGATAAACCCAGATCTAATTAAGTTACCTGGTGTAACCTGCTTCAATAAGAGGGGAGGTAACCACCCACAAGTCGGGCAAAGTTTAATGTGAGGAAGCAAGCAGGGGTTTTACGATGTTATAAAGGTCTATGTTTGCCATGCCAGATAGCAAGGGACCTTGAAAAGTGAAAAGTGTATGTGCTGAAAATGACTTGTGCAAACTTTCATGCCGTCGCAAATGTGTCTATTTTTGTATTTTCTTTATTGTTTGTATCAGTTAGATCAACTGTATAGCCACAGGCTAGAACATAAAAGACTGTTGATTAAGTGCAACAGCGTGAATTTATACATTAGACTAAACATTTCAAAATAGTATTTGACACAATAGAGAAATTAGATGATGATTAAACTCTTTAAATTTAGATATGTAGTTTGTATAGTGTTGAATTTCAGTATACTGTAAATATTTAATATTTTCTTCTCCATATGACAAACAATATTAGCAACATAATATTCCTATATGATATTATTATTAATGTAATGCAGTTCAATGCCACCCATACAACTGTGTTTCGATATAACCAAGTCATTCAATCAAACATTGCATCACTTTTGCTTTTGATGAGTAAAGATTATTATATCAATACAAATAAAACTATACTGCTTTAACTATACTTTTTAGTTTAATGCCAGTAAAATATTGTCTTTTGGACGATGTTTCATTCGTTATGATTCCTATAACGCATGTCTTGGGACAGTAGGCTTTCACAAGCTGCAGTGTAAGAAAACCACATCCATGGTCTGAGTTCCTTTTAGCTTGGGTAACATGCTCTGACACTGCCATGCTGCCAACCAGGAAGTGGAACAAAATCTAACACATGGCTTCAGACGGCGCTAACACAGAACTCCAGCAGACCCAACATGCCCAGGATGCACCACTTTGTGCATGTGCAGCCCAACTGGGAAAGGAGGACTTCCTGTGAGTCTGTGACAGGCGTGTAACAGAACCCGCTCTGTTATCAGATGACCAGCTCTCTGCTTGCTCGCTCTCTCTGTCCCTACTGTCTGACCCCCCTCTCTCTCTCTTCCTCTCATCTGTCGCTCTCATCTCATCATTGCTCCATCTCTGCACTGAACAGTACCCACCACATCGCCCACTTCCCCTTTCCTTTGCTGAGAAGGCAAAACATCTTAGACCCACCCTCCTGTGCCTCGCTCACGGTCCATCTAATGCAACCCACCCATCTATTCTCCTGTTTCATCCCAAACCAATTCACATGCAGACAGTGTCCAATTGGTCACATATCGGCTTCCTGATCAGCTATCCTTTCGGCTTGATTAAAACAGGATCTGGTACATCTGCACTACAGTGTTTAATGTCAATATAACAATCAATTACACTTACTATACATACTCGTGTTTTGACAGTATACTCAAAATGAAAAAACCTTCAATGAACATATCAACAAAAGAAATGATCTAATTCTAAATGTGTAAAAATGTAAGTCTAGCTTCATCCCCACCCTGAACAACATGCCTCTTCCTCTCCCACTAATTTGATCAGGTTGTGTTGGACTCTCCATAATAAATGTCCCAGAAGAGAACAGAAGAAGCCCCTTTACTCCCCCCTAGACTTCGGCACAACAACAGAAAAACAACAGAGAGGGGTCTGTCTGTCTGCCTCGCTGGGCTGGAAGCTGTGGTATACTGAGCAGCTGACCAGGGGAACTAAACATTAGGGGGAAGTGAAGCTGTACTCACCAAGGGAGAGGCAGATGAAAGTTTTCAAACTGTTTTAACTTCAATGAGTATTGATAGAACAGCAGTCAACAATATGATGTTGTTTGGAATGAAGTTCTAAACAACTCAAGTTTTAATTCCATCATATGGGCCACAATACATCATTTTACCACATGAATAACTTTGAACAAATGTCATTACCGTTACATGTATTGCATTGTATACAGCCAACATTTCACTCTAGAATAAAGCCCCAAACTGCCACGGCGACATCACGCAACCTGTCTTCTCAGTCTGTCTCAACCTGCTCGTTTCAGGCCATAGTGGTGTAGGCACAAACATACAGGAATATCAAACTGTATTCAGCCTCACCGCCAAATTGATGGGTGGTGTCTTGGACCTGCCCACAGCCACTGAAGTCCCCTGCAATTCCCCTGGAGTCTATTGTTGGTAACACAGACGCACACGCATGCGTGCAATGCATGCACATTAGCACACACAAAAACATATGGCGTCCTAGTTTAACCTCTTGCTGGAATTTACTTGAATGAACTATAGTTTTCTTCCATAATAGTACCTAGGAAGTGGTTTAGAGAGTAGCATCAGGAAAACATTTACTGTAATTAATATAATCTGAAACATTGAAATGAATAAAAAATGCCATCAACCTTGCCTGCTGCCTGCTTCTTAGAAGCATTCCAAACACTTTCCCAGCACTTGGGCGTCTTCATGTACCGTGCTCTTCTTGTACCCTCTCCGCGCCCACACGTTTAAAAAACGGGTTCAACAAGTATGCAAAGCCCAAAAAGATGCATCTGGTTATTGAGCAAAGACAGTCAGGGTTACTGTGAAGTCTTTAAACCACGAGCCACAAGATAGCAGGACACGACAGGCGAGATTAGAATCAACAAGATGTTGGCAAGGAGGGGGGTGAGTAGACTGTGAAAAAAGATGTCATGAGATTGACCATGGTGAAAGTGGCAGGGAAAAATTGAAATCAATCATCAAGTTGTCCAGCATAGATCCCAAAGTTACTTAAGCTTAAGTTTTGAATTATAATGCTGCATAGATTTGGCATGAGTGAGTTTAGTGAAAGTGAAATTCAGTTGTAGCAAGATGTGGTGCATGTTCTTCCCTTTAATAAGAAGAGGTGTCACTTACTGTGGTTTCTCAAAAAACTATTACTCAACACCAACCTGTACTATGTCAGTAATAAACATGGTCGCTCTGCCACATTAGCAAACATCTGATGCAGTGTTTTGGGGTGAAATTACTCTACCACCACAAAAACAGCCGTACAGGATACGTAACTGTCAATGAGCATCTTTTTAAAGATAGAAGCACTAGTGCCATTTAATCACAACAGTAGATCAAAACATTTAAGAATATTCTGCCATAACAGGATGGACTTATAGGCACAATGAATACCCCTAGTTAGGAAGTTATTCTGATGTGGATGAAAACTTTATGACAACAACTATTTCTATGAGCAGTATTCTGTGTCGCACCTTATACTCAGCACTGACCTATTTGCCGATCCCTCCTTTATCTGCAAGTGGGTCAAGAACTCTGAACTCTATCAAGCCCCATCTCTCTCACTCTCTTTCACACACAACACGCTATGGTATTTATTTCCTCTGCTCACTTCTCTTCTCCTCTCAGTCTAAAGACACAGTGTGTGTGTGTGTGTGTGTGTGTGTGTGTGTGTGTGTGTGTGTGTGTGTGTGTGTGTGTGTGTGTGTGTGTGTGTGTGTGTGGTGTGTGTGTGTGTTGTGTGTGTGTGTGTGTGTGTGTGTGTGTGTGTGTGTGTGTGTGTGTGTGTGTGTGTGTGTGTGTGTGTGTGTGTGTGCTGGGCCCTATCTGCCTCCCCTGCCTGCTGGCCAGCTCTGCTGCCTCCGTCTCTGGGCAGGGCTGGAGCTTTACCAGACAGGAAACTTGCAAGTGGCCCTAGTCGTACAGGCAAGCCCTTGCCTGATCCTACACTAACAGACACCTAACCCCCCCCCCCACTCCCCCCGCCCCGAAAGCACCACCACCACTTCAGCCCCCCTTCATTTTCAGCCCACAACTCGGCTCTGCTGCATCCCTTGCTCTCATTGGCTTGACAGCTGCTCACTCACCACACCTCCTTGTCGGGATAGGCTGGCAGCTGTTCTCTTTCCTGGATAGCCATGGGCAAGGCACTCTGGGATAT